TATGACTAATGGATTTTAACTAATCCTACGGGGTTCCCTATCTTCCTACAAGCAAGGCCCTAGTGGTATGCTAGTGTGTGTCACTAATTATTTGATTTTGAGTTTTGGTGCCGGAGAAGCTTTCTTAGATGACAATAAATTTATTTTATTTTATTTTTTTATTATTTTTATTTTATTAAATTTAACGTTATGCTGGGCTTTTTTATCTTTGTAGACCTTGCATTTGTGTTCTTGCTACTATGAATATTCATGCCCCTTTTTAATAAAATTCTATTTATAATAAAAAATTTCTAGAAAAATCATATTTTAAATATTTAAGAAATAAAAATAAACGTAGTGAATACCACAAATTGATAAAAGGACTTTATCGGTTATTGATAGAACCAATACTTGATTTTAATTAAAGATTCTGTCATTTGATATTGTCAATCAGTTCGCGAGGGGCATGACACAGAGGGATCACAAAAACAACCATTATGATTATAAACATAATTAAATAAAAACAATTTTAACAATAAAACGAAAACATACTTAAATTTTATAGAATACTTTCTCAGCACGAAGAGATTTATTGTAGGGTTTATCACATAAACACATGATACAATAATTATGATTTATTTTTATTGAAAAAAGTTTTATATAATTAAAATTAAAAAGTAAATAGCGGAATCAAAAAGTAGAGATAGAATCAATAAATTATTTTTAAATTTGGTAGATTAGTTGAATACTACCTAAAAATAATGATTTATCTCCTATCCCTGGCACTTATCTACACCTCAATACAGAAATGTGTTATTTTAAATTCATTAGTTAATTATACAAAAATCTATAAAAACATAAGATAAATTTACTTAACTATTTTATTTTACTTAATCATATTAATCTATTTTTAAAAGCGGATTCAAAGGAGAAGTTATAAGCATATAAATAACAAAAAAACGAAGAGCTAAATAAGATGCATTCGATGAATGTCCCGTAAATCATTTCATGAAAAATTCGAATAAATGAGATTGCAATAAGAGATAAAAGTCCTGGACTTAATACCCATTTAAAAAATACAAATCGAAACATTCTATTTTTAAAAATTTTAAAAAAGAATATTAGATTACGACCTTTAACAGAATCATTCGTGGTATTAATATCATGAATTTCATTATCTTGGTTTAATTCATTTTCTGAGAGAAGAGTATATTCTGCTGTATTTGTGTTATCATTATTTTGCATATTAATTACCTGAGTTAAACTTGCACTTGATAGCAGAATACTAAACACGAATATTTTTAGACAAAATTGAAAATTCATTAAGGACTAAAAAAAAATCATATAAATACTTAAAATTTAATTAATTTTTTTCCATAAATGGTAAGTTTCTAAAAAAAGTTAACTGTTTTTATATCAACGTATATTAAATATATTAATTGTTTAGTAGTTTTAACAGCTTTGATTATAGAACTATATTATGGGTTAAAATTTAAAAATTTTGTCACTAAGAACATTATTTACAATTAAATTTTTCTCAATTTGTTAATAATTTATGTTTATTAAATAAAAAGTGATTTATTACTTTAAAATGCAAAAGACTTTACTTAATGTATAAATATTATTTTTTAGTTTAAAAGCACAAGATATATACAACAATAATCATATTAGAGAAATTTTTGGTAGTAATTTATCTTACGATATATTAGTTAAATTTAAAATTACATTTAAAAGTTTATGCTAGTTATTAAATCTTTAAATAACTGATAAATGGTCATTTAAAATATATAAATTGTTTATATACATTAATACTAAGTCTTTAAAAGGCCTATTTAAAATTAGTATATATTATTGTAAAATTTAAGATGATTTAGAAGAATATTTTTGAAATGTAGATAATATTGTCAATGCGCTATTAAGATTACTATTCTCATTATATTAATAATAATCTTCTAAACTTACTTAATTTTATCCATATACAAGAAGAAAGTAGTAAAATAAAAGTGTTGTTAATTATTAAAACTTTTTTGGTGTATGTCGGTTTTGCAGCGTTTTTGAAAATTTATAGCATTTAACTTTAAAATGTTAAAAATCTATTGTTAATATTGTAAATGATAAAGACATTTACTTTGAAGCCACTATTTTGGGATGAAATTTAACAAATTATATTTTGAAAATGCATTCGCAGAACAAGCACGTGTAAATAAAGTGCTTTGAGAGTAAATGTTATATTTAGGTATTTTTTGATACAATCAAAATTTTTTAATTTTAGCTCTTAAAATGATAAAATTAAAAGAGAGAGAAAAATATGATAATTTAGCCCAGTACGTTGAATTGATGTATAAAAATAGAAAATGCATAAAATGTGGTTGTACAAAATAGCACAAGCAAATTGATAGACTTGTTTGTATCTTTTATGCCCGTAAAAAGAGATTTAGTTGCTACCAGAATTCTATTTTTGACAATCCAAGCATTGGTGTTGAATAAATAATCAAACTTTTGGATTTATAACTTAGCAATGCTTCATTTGCTTTAATTAAACGTCTATCTACAATATCTAAGACAATTTTTAGTCGGATTTTAATTAATACAAGAAAACTAGATACTTTTAACAAACATCTAAACTTCAACCTAAAAAAACTAGATGGTGATAAATGTATCGTGGAGGTGGATGAAAGCAAGTTTGGCAAGATAAAATTTAATAGAAAACATTCAATGGGTGGTGTATGAGTTGTTTACGCGGTTAGTAGAACTGGTAAACGTATTGTATTACAACCCGTAAAACAAAGAAATAAAGAAACATTTACAAATTATTGTATAAAATTCTTCGATAGTAAATCTTTAATTTATTCAGATTGCTAAAAAGGCTGTAATGATCTCTTTAAGTATTTCAGTTTACATCAAACGGTAAATCATTCAAAAAACTTTGTAAATAATAAACAGGAATTCGTACGAATACAATCGAAGGAAATTGTAATGCGATCAAAAAGACTATTCCTGGCATATGTAGAAATTTAAAATTAGTTGATATTTGTTTATTTAGGTTTCTTTTAAAAAAAATGAAAAAAATTATAATTTAAAATGCTTATTAAAAATATTACTTTAATTCATTATTAAGCTCACAAGATAGAAAAAAGTTTATTTTAATCATTTTCTTACTACAAAAATTATAAAAAAATTTTGATTATATCAAAAAATACCTAAATATGACATTTTAACTTAATATTTTCAAGTTAAAAGGTATTTCGCAAACAGAATACCTGTTATTGTAAATTAAATTTATTTAAACAACTATGCTACATTACGTAAAAAGATTTTCGTTTGCATTTAATGCATTTTTGATATAAAATAGTCTTTTTAAATTCTGCTAGTACGATTTGTAACTCTTCTTTCGCAGATTTAAAAAAATAAAGATTAAAATTTTAAAGTAGTCGAAATCGTGCAACTTATTAGGTGCAAAATCCAAGTTTAAGCTTAAAAGTTTAGCTTAGAATTACATCATGAGTTTAACAACATGGAAGCAATCAAAGAAAAAAAGTAATCTTTGAAGTAAAAAAAAGACAGTATCTTTTATATAAAATCTTAAAGTATATGATTAAAAAGTATAATCATAAAAAAAGAAATTTGTAAGGAAAAGCTAGCAAGTTATCAATCAAAATATTTATATAATAAAATAAAAACTAAAATAAACATAAGAAGTTGTATAAATTGATAAACGACCCCTACTTCTACTTAAAAAATTTTACTATGTTTAAGACAAAATAACATCACAGCCGAAGAAAAGAAAAACTTTAAATGTTTCAAAATAGTAATATCTTATAGAAGAAGGGCGCAAATGTTTTTATTGTTTGCAAAAAGAGGATCTGTGGGCTACTTGGCAAATAAGTGCGACAGGATGCTCTCGTTTGATTGCACGAGAAGAGATAATGAGACTGAAAATTAAATTTATTCGGTATTGTGCTTAAAATATGGACTCAAGAGCTCAAAAAGAAAAAAATTCTCTCAGCACAAAAAATCCTTGCGAATAAAAAAGTTAAAATTCTTTAAATATAAAATTAATACAGACGTGATTTTCCCTACCAAAAAATAAGGCATTTTTGTGCTAGACAAAGTTAATTTACTTTGATAAAAAAAGGGTCAACTAACATAGATAATTATCTTATACACAATGGAAAGTTAAAAAAAGAAAAAGTACGATTTGCTAACAACTAAAATTGGTTAATGTATAAATGCAGGATAGAAAGAATTTTGTTTGTTCTGACATAAGATGGGATAAAAGTACATACCATAAAAAATACTAAAAGGAAATGGCCATTCTCTTTGTATGAAAGCCTTTATTTAAACTCGAATCCTTAAAAGCAATGGAAAGTACCTATCTGGTGAAAGTATTTTTATGGACGATCGAAGAGGGGACCTGAAGAAGGAGTTGCAACATTGGGCTGATGGAAGGTAAATTAACGGAAGAGTTAAGGGATCTGAGTACTTTGGTGATAAAAATAAAAAGCTTAATAAAATTGCTTTTATTAATCTTTATACCACAAAGATCTCACACCAGAATACTATATATGTTAGTTAATGAAATATTATAACCAGGAAATTTAACAGTTCAAAAGTAATTGTAAAGTGCTTAAGTATAATTTACTTTATAAACTAATTTTTATCCTTAAAAAGATGAGAATGTGATTTTAGAATAAACAACAAGATAAAATATAACCAATTTAATTATTTTTTCTTACCAAACACCAAATTATATAATTCTTGAACTTTTTCGATTTCTTTTGCTGCTTTTTCGGCTTTTTTATATAGATTTTGTATTCCTTCTTTTATTTCTTGTTTTTTATTTTTTATTTTATTTAAAAGAAAATCTATACTTTTTTTACGAGGTAGATTAAGATCTTTTGCTAGATATCTTATATTTGCTTTTGTGCACCGATATTTTCTCTTTAAAAATTCCTTATACAATAATTCTTTTTCAGTCTCAGTTAAATCTCTAAATTTATTGTTTGTGGTCTGTACATTTAGGTTTTTAAATTTGTCGGAACTAGATCTTTCTATATTACTGTTTATACCAGTATTATTTTTATCCTTTAATTCATTAAACAGATAATTTTTGTTTATGAAATAATTATTTGTATTAATATTTGTGTATAATCTATTTATAGTTCCAGGAAATCTATTAAAGTAGTATTTGCTGGTAAAATTGTTATTTTTACATATAAAATCTAAAATATATTTACCATAAATATCTCTATTAGAAATGCCATTTATTTGTTGTGTATCATTGATTGTTTGATTTCTGATAAAATAGTCTTTTTTATTAAGTCTAATATCTTTGTCATTTTTTAATAAAGTGACTTCATCTGATTTACTTGTTTTTAAATCTACGTTGTGGTTTATTATTTTACAATTTTTCGTTTTTCTATGTATATCAGATTCTAGTTTATAATTTAAAACAAATTGATTACTAAAATTTTTACAAATATTGCCATTCATAAAAGCATTTTTGTTCTGTAAGTTCATTATTGGCAAACTGTTGTAAGATTTGATATTTTTAAGTACAAGCGTTTTACTTGAAAAATTTATCCTATTTAACTGTTGTTCATTTTCATTACTTTTTTTTATAATTTTATAATTCTTATCAAAGTCATCATTTATTTCCAATTCTCTTTTATTGTGCCTAAAATTCTGTTTATCATTAATTTTTATGTATGATCTGTCAATTTTGGTCCTTAAATTATTTAAATTATTTTCATTAAAATTCGCCTGTCGTTTAAAATTATTTTTCTTGTCTATGTTTCGATGTTTATTCAAGCAAAATGTATTACTTTTATTTTCAAATGGATCGATATCAATAGAATGATAAATATGTTCTTTTATTTTTTCTAGAGATTTATTCAAATCTTTTTTATCAAAAAATAATAATTCCTTCTTGTTGCTATGTAATATTAATTTATGATCCAATAACTTAGTTTTATCTGTTTGTTTTTCTTCTTTAAATTTATAATCATCATTTATTGTTTTTTGTCTCTTAGTATAATCCAAATCTTTTACCTTTTTTTTTAATTTAATACTTGCATCAGATGATTTATTCAAAACCTGATTTTTACTTAATGATTCAAATCCCATCTTAATTCTTTTAAATTCAATATCAACCATACATACCTTAGATTCATCATCATTTTCTTTATGATACAATTCTTTGTCATTATTACATTTTTTTGTAATTTTTCTTTTTATTGGTTTTCCATACATTTATGCATAAAAAAATTATTAAATTTAAACACAAAAAAAAGAAAAAAAACAAAATGATAAAAAAGTAAATTTAATGATCTGTAATATAAGCAGAAAATTATTTTATACTGATGTATTTTGCATATTTAAATTATTTAATAGTTTGTTTATATATGTGACAAAGACAAAATATTTGCTTTGTAGAAGAACCAAGCACATTTTATTACAGAATATATAAAATTAAACATTAAACAAAAACAAAACTCTTATACTTTTTATAAGAACAAAATATTTGTAATTATACTAAAAAAAGATATCACAACTTTTAGAATTTTCATATTAATGATATATCAAACAAATCTTTAAATGATATTTACCCAATAAAAAAATTATCCAGTAAGTAGTAAAGATTCTTCTATTGTTATTTAAAATTACAATTTTATTAAAGCTTATTAATATTCAATATACTTTTATTAAAAACTACTACAAAAAAATCAAACTACAATTTAACAATGTTGTTGTAACCATTAGCTTAATAACAAAACGGCAAAGTATAATTTTCTTTAAATATCAAAATGGAAGAAAACTTAAGCAAATAATGGAATGAAAATTATAATTTGAAATTAAACAACTACTTTTTTAATGATGAGAGAGCCAATGAAAATTATTTTTATTTATTCTAACTGTCATAACCACCAGATTACATTTTGTTATCGGTGTTAAAACTACGAACATTATAAGCTAGTAAAATTTTGTAAATATTCTCTAAATTAGGGATGCAAAACTTAAATAAAAGAATAAGTACTTATAAAATATTTAGGATTCTGTAAATTTACAATTATAATTTATGTTAAAAAATCAATATATTATAAAAGATAAATATTAAAAGTAGTTGCTATGTATCAACTAGACATAACTTTATAGCAATAATTTAAAAAAAAATATATTGTAAATGTAATTAATAATAGTTAATAATTTTGTTGTAGTATTTTTCTTTATTTCACTTTTCAAATTATATGGTAGAGTAAATCTTTATATATCCTTTTTAATGCAAATAAATAGTAATTTTGTAACATTAAACCTGTAACCCCGGCTCGCGCTCGAAACACAGCCGCGTAAAGTTTTTTTTTCTTACAAATTTTACTATACTTGTGTTTATTAAATTTTAAAAATTTCTGCTTACAGTTTATATTTAAATGCTCGTACACAGATTTAAATTTATAATATTTTTGAAATGTAACAAGACAAGGCTTACTGTGACAACAGCTACGTATATTTAAATATAAATTTTAAAAGACAATCTTGCTTAGAGATTTGTTAAATAATAATAAGTTGTAAAAGATTTTATTCTTTAATACATTAGAGAATGAACAAAATAAATGTTTAAAATTTGAAAATTTTTTTCCCGCACATATAATTAAAAAATCTTATATTTAAAATTGACACCATAATAATCATAAGGATAGAACTAAAATAGTATTTATGACTAATGTAATAAAAATAATATTAATAGTGTTGATGTTTTAAATAAAAATCTTACCAGGTTTATAATGATTCATATCTTTTAAAAAAATTTTAAATTTATCTTAATACTAAATTAAATAAAAATAATATTGTCATACAAATGTTTTTATACTTTAGATACAGTATACTTATATAAATCCATGAAAACAATTTTAAACTTAAACATAACTTAATTATACGTAAAAGCTCTGTAAATAAAACGCTTAAACAGCACATTTTCGACCAAAAAAAATCTGCCAACATTTGAACTTTTTCAATTGTGGATCGGGCTTGACTTGAAAGATCAGATATTTTACTTTGGTATTAAGTTGTTCTTCTCGTATTAAATTAGGTGTATTTACAATCGTTCATCAAAATCTTTTAAATTATGTTTAATGCTACATTATTGTTATAAAAATAAAAATTTTTGATTTATGTAAAAATTTCATATGAAATATTTAATGATTAATTTACAAAATTATTTTTTAAAATTTCAGTTTTAATATAATATTTACTAGCTTAATATTCTATCATAACAAAAAATTTTAAATTTTTTAAATAAAAAAGTATAAGAGTAAAATATAACTAAAATATTTCTTTTGACATTTTAAAAGAACATTATTATACTTTTTAAGAGTAAAAAATAATCATTTTATGCTTTTAAATTTTAATGTTTACATTTAAAAAGAGACAATAAAGGAAACAAAACATAAAAATGCAAAAAATAACTATAGAGTAAATATGTATTTTAAGTTAAAAACATATAGTTTTTATTCTACTGCAGGAATAGGATATGTTTATAATGTTTTGTCTATAATATTAGACTTAAAATTGGGCGGAAACACTTTTAAATTGAACTCATGTTTTTATCCAACAACTATATTAAAAAATGGGTTACTTTATCAGTGTATTTGTTAAAAAGCAGCCTTAAAAAACAAAAAAGAAGAAAAGTCACCATAAACTCCACCGTAAAAATAAAACATCAATAGTGTGCTTACACGCCAGCATACCTTTACGGCCTTGCTCATACGCACTCTTAGGATACAGAATTTTTGATCTACTTTAAGTGAGTGTACAGAACAGCATCGCCCGGCTCAAGTTAAAAAGTAGCCTTAAGTAAAATCTTAATAAAAACTGTATTTGTAAATCAAAGAAAATTAAACAGCATAAATTTTCTTTCTATTTTACAATTTGTTACAAAGCATAAAGTCCCCTTAAAATTTTACAACCTGTAAAAATAGACTTTTAAGAAGCATTGCTTGTAACAAAAATCAATAGGTGCATATAATAGTATTAAAACCATTTGTAATATCTACATAATAAACATATCTTTACAATATTATCACCTTATATTAAATATTTTTTTACCCTCTCTACAATGTTTAATATTATTATTCCCACTTACAATGAAAAGGATAACATTAGTACACTTATAAAAATGGTAGAATGTACTTTCATCATCAACAATGATTACAAAATAATTATTGTTGATGATGGAAGTACTGATGGCACTAGGGAAGTAGTATCATCTTTTAAAAATGTAGTACTATTATGTAGACCTTGTAAAATGGGACTGGGTTCTGCATACAAATTTGCACTACCGTCTTGTACATATCCTTACACTTTTATATTAGATGCTGATTTATCACACGATCCTTTATTTATGCATGAGATGATTAAAATACAGAAAAAAACTGGAAGTGACATTGTGTCATCTACAAGGTACAAAAATGGAGGTGTTTATGGATGGTCATTTTGCAGAAAATTAGTAAGTAGAGGAGCAAATAATTTTGCTAAAATACTTCTAAATTTAAGTACATCTGATCTTACAGGTAGTTACAGATTGTATAAAACTACTGTTTTAAAAAGCCTTATAAATCAAGCATCTTCAGTAGGATATTCAATTCAAATGGAATTAATATATTATGCGGAAAAAAATAATTATAAAATTACAGAGTGTCCTATTATTTTTTATGAAAGAGAGGCAGGTGAGTCAAAATTAAGTAAGAAAGAGATTATAAATTTTGTAAAATCAGTGATTAATCTCTATTTTCATAAATAAAATATATAATAATGCTGAATATTCAATATAATGTTTATAGTGAATGATAAAAAAAAAAAAATAAAAAGTTTATTGTTAAAAAATAAAAAACAGCAAAAGAAGAAAAGCCACCAAAAACTCCACTGTAAAAAAAAAAAAATAAATAAAAAGTTTATTGTTAAAAAATAAAAAATCAGCAACAGAAGAAAAGCCACCAAAAACTCCACTGTAAAACCAAAACATCAATATTGCGCTTACACGCTAGCATACCTTTACGGCCTTGCTTATAGGAGAAAAGAGCGTTCCCTTAGGATACAGAATCCTCGGTCTACTTAAAGACCA